GTGAAATGAGGAAGAGACAGACTTTTATTTTCCTGAGCCAGTGCACTGTAAGATCTATTTGTTATAGCAGTTTAGTCTATTATAACTAATACACGGGTTGGCATTGAAGTAGTTTAAGGAGACTAATGACCAGGTTACTATTTTTTTGAAGGATAACTTAGGCAAGCTGAGTGGCACATTGATTGCAGAAAGCAAGGCCATTGAGTAGAATACTGCAGTAGGCCACATAAGGAATGATGAAGGCCTGAACCAAGACTGTGGTACCGGGAGCTAGAAACTATTATATTTAAAAGATAATTTGGCGGAGGTAATGAACAGGTTTTTTTTCATTGACACATAAGTTATGACTGAAAGGTAAATAAACTGGTCAGGGTTTGGTGAATCAAACTACCCCTCAGTGGTGGAAATGTAAATCAACATAACTTTTTGGACCATTAGTTCGTAATGTACATTAAAAGTCTTAAAATGTCATACCGTTTACTTATTTTTTATTTACTTAATAAATTTATTTATTATTTTTAGCTGCCTTGGGTCTTCGTTGCTGTGCGCGGGCTTTCTCTAGTTGTGGTGAGCAGGGGCTACTCTTCGTTGTGGTGCACGGGCTTCTCATTGTGGTGGCTTCTCTTGTTGCGGAGCATGGGCTCTAGGTGTGCAGGCTTCAGTAGTTGTGGCATGCAGGCTCAGTAGTTGTAGCTCGCAGGCTCTAGAGCACAGGCTCAGTAGTCGTGGCGCACGGTCTTAGTTGCTCCTCGGCATGTGAGATCTTCCTGGACCAGGGACCGAACCCGTGTCCCCTGCATTGGCAGGCAGATTCTTAACCACTGCGCCACGAGGGAAGTCCCTGTCATACCATTTAAATGAGCAATTCCATTTCTATGAATTTGTCCTAAGCAAATGATTAGAAATTTAGTAAATGACTTCAGTACAAAGATGTTTATCATTGTGTTATTTACATTTGCAAAGGTTAGTGTAGTACTAAACCAACCCCCCAATCTACTTAGTGGCTTGTAAGTACAAAGATTTGTTTCTCAGCCATATTACCTGCCCAGGCTGGAAAGGCTGGGGCCTCAGCTCCATGTTGCCCCACTCTGGAACCATTTTGAATGTATTTGTTATCTGCTGCTGCATAGCAAATTACTCCAGAACTTAGTGGCTTAAAACAAGAAACATTTATTTTGTCGCAATTTCTGTGGGTCAGGAGTCTGGGTGTAGCTTCACTGGATCCTCTGGCGTTTAAGACTGCAATTGGGAATTCCCTGGCGGTCCAGTGGTTAGGACTCTACGCTTTCACCGCCGAGGGCTCAGGTTCAATCTCTGGTTGGGGAACTAAAATCCTGTAAGCCATGCTACATGGCCTAGATAAATAAATAAACTTCATTAAACACAGAAAAAAGACTGCAGTCGAGGTGTCTGCTGGGGCTACAGTCATCTCAAGCCTCAACAGGGGAAGGACGTGCTTCCAAGTTCACTTATGTGATGATTGGCAGGCCTCAGAAAATCCATTTCCAAACTTAACTCATGTGGCTGCTGGCAGGCCTCAGGTCCTACCAGGCGGGATACATCAGCTCTTTACCACACAGCCATCTGCAGGTACCACGTGGACATCTCACAGCAAAGCAGCTGGCTGCTCTTAAAGTGATTAAGGGAGCAGTGGAGGGTAAAGAGGCCAAGCGTGATGGAAGCCAGAGTCTTTTTGTAACCTAATCTTGGAAGTGATATCCCATCACTTTTGTCATATTCTATTCATTAGAAGCAAGTCACCAGGTTCAGTGCACATTCAAGGAGAGGGGATTATGAGGGCTTGACTACCAGGAGAAGGGGATCATTGGGGCCCATTTTAGAGGCTGCTTGCCACAATGAACGTTACAATTTCTGGGGCAGAGAGAAAAGAAACATGACAATTTGTGCGCTGGCTCTTCAGAGGTTCCTTTTGGAGGTGGCACACATTACTTCTACTCGTATTTTGCAGCCAAACAAGTTACATTGTCACCACTAACTTCCAAGGGATGGGAAATTGCAATCCTACCATGTACTGGAAAGAAGAGGGAACCCAGAATATTTGTGAATAGGGCTGACTACCATAGCTACAGGTTCAACAATGGGAGAATGGTTTAAATTTTTTTTTTTTTTTTTGCGGTACGCGGGCCTCTCACCTCTGCGGCCTCTCCCGCCACGGAGCACAGGCTCCGGACGCGCAGGCTCAGCGGCCATGGCCCACGGGCCCAGCCGCTCTGCGGCATGTGGGATCCTCCCGGACAGAGGCACGAACCCGCGTCCCCTGCATCAGCAGGCGGACTCCCAACCACTGCGCCACGAGGGAAGCCCTAGTTTAAATTTTTGATACAACCATGTGCAGGATGTTATGTAACTCTAACAGATGTTAAGTGGGATTTGCCCTTTAGCCTAGGATAGAAACTAGGATTTACAGGTGAGGCATCAAGTACCCCACATTGTAAAAAGAGGCACAAATAATTGGGGGTCAGACAACTTCTCTGCTTCCAGGACTTAAAGGGTGACCAAACCGACTTTTCCATCCTCAACCATCTTCTCAGACGTGCCCCATAACCCCTACAACCTCATGTAACCAGAAGATTGGTCAGAGGGTGGGGATGGGAGTCAGCAGAGTCATGAGTCAGCCCTGACAGAGACTGCCCTGGCATTTCTCTACAAAAATCAAGTGAGTGAGATAGGCTGGGACCTGGGACCCAGGACACTTTACTGGAGTGCTTGCACCTGGACAAACGTCTCCTTGAGCAACAAAGTACAAAGAAACTGTAAGGGACTAAAAATAACTGCATGCATGCGCAGTTGGGGCAAATTATGAACAGTAAGATACAAAAAGGCCAAAAACCAACTGCCACTCCTGAGGTGCTGAGAGCAAAAGCAGGGCACTGCGCATGCCCCCTGTGCTCAGCACCACCAGGGGGTGGGCAGATTACCTCCGCCACCCCTCCTGCCGACCCCCCCATCTGCCCCCAGCCTCACCCCCTTCCTCCGGTAGCGAGCAAGGGAATCTTTCACTTGTTTTCCCTCCCTCATGCTGCAGCACGAGTCTCAATAAAGCCTTGCCTGATTTTCTCATCTGGCCTCTTATCCATTTCTATTAATTAAAGAGCCCAAGGACCCGAGTCGGTACCATGAAGAGGGTTGCAAGAGATTCCCCCATGTAGATTGGGGCTGCTTGCAAGGAGTGAAGCCCGTATAGAAACAGCAGGGCAGAGGGGCCGTCAAGAGAACACCATATTGAGTACATTAGCCGGGGATAGGGGACGGACGCAGAGGATAGGAAGATGTCACACTGGGCCAGGCCTCCCCGTCCGAGAACCGTGCTGGAGGGCGGGCCGCACTGAGGGGTCCCTCGCCACCCTGCCTTAGAACACCTGCCTGCCCAGAGGTGCATATGAGGTGACATTCTGGAAAGGACCACTGGCCAAATGAGAGATGCCAGTCTCTTTCCCCTTCTCAGCCCCCAACCCCAAGAAACTGAAACTGAGTCCCCCTAAAACCACGTTCCTCTGCTGCGTTTATGATTAATCTCTCTATCCAAAATGTTATTCCCTTTTTTGTCCAACACCTGGGTTCCCTCATGATTGAGGAGTAGCAAAGAAAAGGGGCGATTGAAACTGAGCAGGACCCCGTGGGGCCCTCCCAAGCACGAAAGCCTTTCTGTGTCCCCCATTTTTTGTTTGTAGGAAAAAGGTTGCAGCCTCTTAGACCTTCCCTGAGTTCCAAAGGGCAGATTCAAACAGTTACTAATAAGGGGAGTGAGGGAATACAGAAACAATAATGCAGCTTGTATCTCTTAGTTCTACAGGAACTAAGGTCTCCACTCAGGTAGAGGATGGTAACTTTATGCTAAGCATAAGCACATAGACCCCAAACTGGTTGGAACCAGAAGGCTGATGACTGAGATTCCTGGAACACCTCCCACCAACCAATCAGAGGAAGGTCACACACTCTGCAAGCACCCCCCTCCACCCCCCCGAAAGTTTGCATATAAACACTCTTCCTCCAAGTCATCAGGGATCGCAGGTCTTTTGATCATGAGCCACCCTGTTGCCCTGTTCTCCTTCCTCAGCCCTGTTTTCTTGGCTCCAAACCCTGGTCTCACTGGGCATTGACTGGGCACATGAACTTGGGTTTGACAACAAAGCCAGGCTCCCAAGCGTGAGGGGGAGAAGTCCCAGCGCGCAGTCTCACCCAGCCTGCACACCCTCCCCTCCCCACTCAAACCTCCGTAGTAGGTCGCAAGCTTCTACATGGCACTGCCACTGTAGGATCCCAGGAACTGAAACTAAAAAGTGGCGTTTCTAGCCCTTGGCAAGGCTGAAGGAGAACCCTCCACACGCCACAGCCAGGGGAACAGGCGATGGAGACAGCGGCGGCAGGGACCGAGGCGGCGCGCCGCGGGGTCTTGTGGGAGACGCCGGGCTCTCTCCGCGCAGGCGCAGTACAGCCTCAGCGGGCTTGGCCCCGGGCCGGGAAACCAGAGACGCGGGACTCGGCTTGAGCCAGGTGAGTCTGGCGGCTCTTGGCAGCGGCAGGAGCTACTTCCGGCAAGACTGGGGTTCAGAGGGGCACTCAGGTTCAAAGGGAAGATAGATATCAGCGGGCCAGAGTAGGGGTGGGTTTGAGGGACTTGAAGCCCCAAGTCTGGGGCCCCGGGAGCGATGGTCCCCGAAAGAGTGTGTCACCCGCGATTTGGCTGTGGAGGGTCAGATCCTACCAGGTTCTCTAAAGCAGGCACAGTCACCGGCTCTGCTCACCGCAGACAGGAGCGTTCGTGGAACCCCCCTCCCCCCCGCCCCGTGGCTCCAGGATCCCCTTCTCCTTCAGACTCCAGCCTTGGCTTAGCCCCCTGTGCCCCGCTGCTCCCGGCTGTGGGCGCCCCCAGGTCGGGGCTGCGATCGCAGCATATCGGCGGGGCGGGTCATCCGCGTATCTCCCCCAGAGCAGTGTGTGCGGGCGCTTCCACCCTCTGATGTCTCGGGTTTCTCCTTCAAGTGTTTGGCCGCCGGCTTTGCAGTCCCGGTGTCCAGAGGTCCCTAGCCGGAGTTCCTCCGTATGTATCCTGGGAGACGCTTAGTGTAACTTTGAGCCCGGCTGGATTTCCGACTGTGGCACTCTTGCTGTTCTTGAGCCCACAGGAACAAGCCATGCTGGTAGGAAAGAAGACCACAACTCCTCAGGCAGCTGGACCCCATCTTGAGAGGATACACCTGTGACCTGAGGCTTCCTGCCAAAACTACTAGCCAAGACCAGGGTCTGGAGGAGGAAGTGGTTCTGGAGCTGCTGGGGCTGTGGACGTTCCTCAGCAAGGCTTGGGTCAGGTGACACCTTCAGAGAACAGGGAGAGACCGTGGACTTAGAATAGACTGTTTCCCATCTCTTACCTGAGGTGGTGAACAGTCTGTAGTGTGGAGAGGAGAAGGCAACGTAGGGCAGACTGGTTGAGGGAATGGTTCGGGTGAGGCTGGCCACTCTGGGGGCTGCAAGGCAGGCTTGTCTCATGGCTCCTTTCTTTTCCAGCTTTTCCTCCTTAACTCCTTGACCTTGCTGAGGAAGAAGAGATGACCAGTTCCCAGGTGAGATGCATATTTCCTTTCTCGGTCCCGGTATACATACTCTTGAAGAAAAGGAGAAGGAAACACATTTATGGATGTGCTGGATATGCTCAACATTGACTTTTTCTTTTGATACTCACAACAGTTGTGAGAAGTGGACATTATTTCCATTTTGCAGATGTAGCAGCTGGCTCAGTGAGGTTTAGAGACCTGTCAAGTTCACCAAGCTATGAAATGGTGGAGCCAGATTTGTCTTTAGGCCCATTGCCTATGCTGTACATGTTGTCAGTGGACAAGTCTTCTCATCCAGGGACTGAGCCTGAATTGTGCACACCTTGAGGGCTGGGCCTAATCGGTGAAATGAAGGACTCTGAAAGGAATGCACTTTCTTGCCTGGTGCCCTTCTTTAGGTTAGGTCTCTTCTCTCCCTAACATGTTGCTCATTCATTTATCTACTTCATCATGGCTGCTCTGTGCTCATTTATTTGTAAGAGCAAAACAAACTGACTTAGATACAATTCTTACTTCAACGTGTGTGGTTTCTTTGGGGGAGATTAATATGTACATGTATAAAATAGTGATTATTACTCACATATACAATGAGTAATATGAAAAGAAGCCACTCTTAAGTGTCAGTTTGAAGACTGCACTCAGTGATAACAGTGCTAGAGGAGGGGAAAAAATCAGTGTGCAATCAGATTGAGGAAGACTGAAGGAGGTGAGCTAGAGAAGATTTGAGTACTACAGGTTTCCTCCGCTATCTGAAAGTTGGGTGTTCCTATGAAACCTTTCCGAAGCCAAAATGGTGGAAAGAATCGATTACTTTAGGACACATCTTGCTAATGGACGCACAAAATAAATCGAGATAAAGCACAGATGCTCACAGACACAGTTCAAAGCTATGGAAGCTTGATGCTGAGTGAAGTTCCTGGGGAAGAAGTTTGGCAGTGCCACTCTAGCAGCCCTGGGTATGTGCTGCCTCTGTAATGACTCTTTACAAAACAAGTGCTGAATGTTTTTTTTGATTTTTGTTTTTCTTCATGAAAGTGAAAATGCTTTTCAGATTTCTTTCTGTTAGCGAAAACAGGTGCTAATGTAGGTCTTAATGTAGGTCTTTCATGAAAACGAAGTGGCAGATAGCAAGGATACCTGTATATGAACTTCTATACCTCTTTCAAGTCTTTACTGTTCTTTGTTGTTTATAATTGCCTTATGGCCTAGTTTATGATCAATTTTTACAGTGTTTCATGTTTGCTTGAGTAGAATGTATATTCTCTAAAGGTAAGTGGGTAGGTACCAACTTTTTTTTTTTTTTTTTTTTTTGCGGTACGTGGGCCTCTCACTGTTGTGGCCTCTCCCGTTGTGGAGCACAGGCTTCGGACACGCAGGCTCAGCGGCCATGGCTCACGGGCCCAGCCGCTCCGCGGCATGTGGGATCTTCCCGGACCGGGGCACGAACCCGTGTCCCCTGCATCGGCAGGCGGACTCTCAACCACTGCGCCACCAGAGAAGCCCATCCCCTAATTTTTAATACTTCTATACAATTTTTAAAACTGTCTATAGGTGTCCATAAGATCTGACTTGTTTAAAATTTTTGTATCTTTATTGATTTATTTTTGTTTGCTTGACCCATCAAGAATTGAGAAAAAAAAGTGTGTGGAATCTCTTTGAGTAGTAGATATGTCAATTTCTCTCTGTAGTACTTCCATTTAAAAAAAATATATTACTTTGAGGATGTTTTATGAGGTACATACAAGTTGAGTTGTTATATCTTCATGGAGAATTAAAGTTTTTATCCCTATGTAGTGACCTTTTATATCACTTTGTGTCTAGAAATCTATTTTGTTCAACATGAGTATAGCTATTCCTGCTTTCTTTTGTTTATTATTTACCTGGTTTACCTTTTTCCATCATTTCAACCTTTTCAGGGCCTTATGCTTTAGGTATATCTCTCATTAACTGCTTATAGCTCAATTCTGTCTCCTCCCCCCTCAATCTGATAATCAGCACCTTTTTAACTAGCAAGTTTAGTCTGTTTGCATTTAGTGTAGTTATTGATATATTTGATGTGTTTGTACTGTCTTGCACTTTAATTTTATTTGTCCATTTTTCCTGTATTTTCCCCTCCTTTCTTTTTTTTGTTTGTTTTTTAAGTGGAGAGGGTTTTTTCTTTTTTTTCTTTTTCCTCTTTACATGTTTGAATTTTATAACTTATATCCATTCGTTTGGTGGTTACCCTTGAAATTTTATTGTGCATACTTGCAAGCCTAGGTATAAACAATATGTTAACCTCTTTCAGAATAATGCAAGGACTTAGGAACTACTGATCACATCCCCCATTGACTTAAAAGCTATTGTTTTCTGTATTTTATTTATGTTTTATTTTTTTGGACTTGCTGAGCAGCTTGCAGGATCTTAGTTCCCTGACCAGGGATCGAACCTGTGCCCCCTGCATTGGAAGTGCAGAGCCCTAACCACTGGACCTCCAGGGAAGTCCCTGTTTTTTGCATTTTAATTCTGTCCTCCTAATAAATTAGATATTATTAGAATTATTATTTTATACAGACAATGTTTGTTTGGATTTACATATATGTTTATCATTTATTTGCTTGCCATTCTTTCTTCTGTCTCAGCCTTTCCTTCTGGGATCACTTTTCTTTTTCCTGAAATACATTCTTCCTAGAAGTTCCTTTTTAATGCATCTTTAGACATTCCATTTGTTATTTTTTTCACAACTGCATGTTATTTTCAGATAATTTCTTTGCTTTATCATCTTATAATTGCATCTTTTATTTTTTCAAATAATTCATGTATTGCTGTTCTGGTTCTATATCTGATAGTTTAAATATCTGTAGTTGTTGGTAGTGTAAATCTGTTTTATGCTCACTCTCCCCTTTGATGAGTTTAATTATGAGCTCATTGATTGATCTTTATTTGAGTCCTATGGGAAATTTTTCTCCAGAGGAAATATGCTTCTGTTTCTGCCAGAGCTTAGAGGATGGTACTAACATGGGATGGTCCCAGTTCCTCAGAGGTCCCAGGTCAGGCTAAGCTTCCCACCCTGCAGCTGGCATAAGGTTCCATATACCACAGCAGCGCTGCTATTGGCATCTCTGCAGGGCAACCCGTCCTTTCCAACTGCCTGCCACTCTGCTCTCAGCTCACTGGGTTGTTTTGTCTTATTTTTCCTTTTCAGTTGTGGGGAAAGGAGTAGTCCTTTTTCTTTGTTTCCAGTTAGGTGAAATTCCTGATTTTTGTGACATGATATTATTGACCTGTAAATCTTATAAATATTTGTAGCATCTGGTTTACTATTTTTCAACTTAACTAGTAATCCAAGAAATGTTATAATATAATGAAATGGCATTTTTGCCACCTATCAAAGATGTGTTTTTTAAAAACACTTACTGGTAAAACCAGGACACTCAAATACTTTTAAACTAAATGTCATCTTGCTACAAACTTTTTGGAGGGCTTTGGAAATATGTGTCAGAAGTCTTTACCTAACAAACCTAACAAAAGTCTTTTAGCTAACAATTCTACTTTTAGGAATTTACCCTGAGAAAAAGAGTGGATAAGTGCATATAATTTAAATACAATGATATAACTTGCAGTATCATTATGGTAATGAAAAGTGGTAAGTAACTTTAGTGTCCAATATAGGGACATTTTGTTGTTGTTGTTTTTTGATTGTTTGTTTGTTTGTTTTTTGCGATACGCGGGCCTCTCACTGTTGTGGCCTCTCCTGTTGAGGAGCACAGGCTCCGGACGCAGGCTCAGCGGCCATGGCTCACGGGCCCAGCCACTCCGCGGCATGTGGGATCTTCCCGGACCGGGGCACGAACCCGTATCCCCTGCATCGGCAGGCGGACTCTCAACCACTGCGCCACTAGGGAAGCCCCTGTTGTTTTGTTTTTAATATTTATTTATTTATTTGGCTGTGTTGGATCTTAGTTGCGGCACACGGGATCTTTCGTTGCAATGCGTGGGCTCTTTGCTGTGACGTGCGGGCTCCTCTCTAGTTGTGGCATGCAGGTTTTCTCTTTAGTTGTGGCTCTCTAGTTGAGGCCCACGAGCTCAGTAGTTGTGACACATGGGCTTAGTTGCTTCTCTGACTAGGGATCGAACCCGCATCCCCTGCATTGGAAGGCAGATTCTTTACCACTGGGCCACCAGGGAAGTCCTGGGAGATTGTTAAATTATGATATAACCATGAGAAGAGCCACTATATAGCCATTAACAAGGTATAGAAGAGTATTTACTAATAGGGGAAAATGTTCATGATATTTTAATTGAAAAATGTTTTAAAAAGTTGTAAAGAATATCCCCAAGTTTTAAAACTTACATATATATGCCAAAATGTAAATAGTAGTTATTTGGGGGCAATATGATTATATATTTTGTATTTTTTTTTGTAGTTTTCTCTTATCTTCCATAATAGCACTTTTGTTATCAGAAAAAAATAGCAAATGAAATGTGATTCTCATTGCGAGAGTGGGAGGGAGGGGGTTATTTGAAATGTGTGTTCTTTTATCATCAAGTTTTCTTTCCATAGATGAATGTTAATTATGTCAGTACATACCCTAGGAAAAAGTTATAATTTGTGTCTAGCCTAGACATACAAGCCAGCACTTCGTCAAACTAGTGGGCTAGATTAGACACTCAAAGTTGCCACTGCATTTTTTATATTATATAAAAAGAATATGCACTGTTTAGAAAAAATCCTCAGCCAAGTGAATAAATAGTACAGCCATACTGCAGACATTTTACAAAAAGGAATATGAAGAAGAACCAAAAATGTATTTCTTTACATGAGATCAAATAGATCATAGGCTTAGAGGTTTCATTTATATCTGCAGCTAATTTATGTGTGCCTGTACTACTTACTCACCATGTGTAGGATCATTATAGATGTGAGACGTTGCAACACTGCAAGTGATTTTTCAGCACAATCTGTAGTGATACAGCCTTAAATACACTTGATGTTGCTTCTTTAATAGCTGAAATAAAACCTAGGGTTGGGCATTAAAAACTGTGGTTTTAGGCATTTATAATGACACATTTCTACTGTATTTAAGAATAAATTTTTAAAAATGACAAAATTTAATTGACGTGATCATTCACTATTCATATCTGGTTAAATCTGTAAAACAGACTCCTTTACAAATATTTTCAATCTCCCGATATTTAAGACCAAGTCAAAATATTATCATTGCATATTGATAATCTGTTATTCTCATCTGGGTTTATGTTTTGTCTGTTTATTTCACTACCTAGACCAATGTCCTTTAAAAGTGTTTTTAGGGACTTCCCTGGTGGTCCAGTGATTAAGAACCCATGCTTCCAGTGCAGGGAGCGCGGGTTCAATCCCTGGCTGGGGAACTGAGATCCCGCATGCCGCATGGTGCAGCCAAAAAAAGAAAGTGTTTTTCAATTAGAATTGATTTATTTTATTAAATGCTATTTTGCCATCCTGTGAGATGGTCATATGGATTTTCCTTTTTTACTTGTTATGATTATGTATGTTAATAGATTTTCTAATGCCAGCTGTTATCAGGCTAAATTCTTAGGGTCAAATAAACAAAACATTAGCAGTGTCTCTTTATTCAAGACCAACTTGAATATTTCACTTTTACAGCCAGTTCCTAAAAGCTTCTCATAATTAAGAATTGAAAATTAGTACTACAGTGTGAACATGCCTAATTACTGGGAATTTATTTTCATCAACTTTGTTTCTGAAGTTGCTGTATTTCTAGACTTAGAAATTTTCTGTTACTTGACTGCATTGCAGTGAATGCTCTCTATAGGAAATAAGTTTGTGATGATTGAGAAACAGAATTAAGACAGTGGATAGATATCCAGAACATAAGTCTTAAGTGTGCCTTTGAGTCACATAATATATAGTCTTAGAAAATAAGTTACAGTTATTGTAGACTAAGCATTAATGATGTTGATGTTTGAATTTCAAGACTGACAGATCACTAGTAAACTATTTCAAAGCTTTATAAAAGACATTGAATTTCATTCTTAGAGTTTTCCCACAATACAACTTAATCTTTCTTCTTAGAACCATAATAAATACAAATAACCACACTGAAAGATCTATCACATCCTCATTCATATTAGACATTTTTTTAAGTTGAGGTATAGTTGAATTACAATATTGTATTAGTTTTAGGTGTACAACATAGTGATTCAAAATTTTTATAGATTATATTCCATTTAAAGTTATAAAATATTGGGTATATTCCTGTGCTGTACAATATATCCTTGTAGCTTATTTATTTTATTCATAGTAGTTTGCGCCTCTTACTCCCCTACCCCTATTTTGCTCATACCCCCTTCCCTCTCCCTGCTGGTAACTACTAGTTGATTCTCTATATCTGTGAGTCTGTTTCTGTTTTGTTATATTCATTCATTTGCTTTTGTTTGTGTTTTTTTTTTTCAGATTCCACATGTAAGTGGTAACATACAGTACTTGTCTTTCTCTGTTTGACTATTTCACTAAGCATAATACCCTCTAGGTCCATCCATGTTGTTGCAAATGGCAAAATTTCATTCTTTTTTATGGCCGAGTAGTATTCCATTGTGTGTGTGTGTGCGTGTGTGTGTGTGTGTGTGTGTGACATCTTCTTTAGCCATTCATCTGTTGATGGACACTTGGGTTGCTTCCATATCTTGGCTATTGTAAATAGTGCTGCTATAAACATTGGGGAGCATGTATCTTTTCAAATTAGTGTTTTCCTTTTCTTTGGATATATACCCAGGAGTGGGATTGCTGGATCATATGGTAGTTTTATTTTTAGTTTTTTGAGGAACCACTGTTTTCCACAGTGGCTGTACCCATATTAGACTTCTTTACAGTGCAGTGATTGGAAAGGAAAGCACTAGCTTTTAAGTAATCTCATAAAATCATTTTCAGTTCATAGGACACCTTCCTGTCTATTCCCAAAACTGCCAATTCTTATCAAGGGCATTTTAATACCTAGCCACTGTTCAGGTGTGGATGCAGCTATATTTACACTTGGTGGTTAGTCTTTAAGATAGTCTAAGAATCTACAAGCTTGCTTGCAAATAGAAATGATATCTTCCTAATTAAATGTTTAAAGGTGCTGGGCTTCCAAAAAGAATGATAGATCAAAGAATCCTTGGATTTGTTTAATAATAAAAGTATCAGTTAGCCTGGCTAATTAGCCAGCGTCACATGAACTTTATGTTGAAATATAACTTTGAAATGAAATGGAATAGAACTTGGCTTTGTAGAAAAATAAGTATATAAAGAATATGGACATTTCCAAGTACGTATCTAAAACATATATAACACTGTGGGTCTGTGTATGTTGGTGGAGAGTGAGGGAACGGGAGTAGTTAAGGCTGAAATGCAAGTTTTGGGCAACTGGGTGAAAGGTGATAGTCTTCACTGAGAGAAGGAACAGAGGAGATGGAGCCTCTGTGTTTCTGTGTGTGTTTGTGTGTGCAGAGGGGAGTTAGAAGACAGTTTGAAGCACCTGTCGGACATCCAATTAAAGAAGTCTAGAAGGTAGATAGATATCAAGGTCTGAGACAGATCCAGGTGAAAGACACAAATTTATGAGTTGTCACCATGTATATAATCATTAAAGTCATGGGCTTGGTTGAGATCATCCAGCTGATATGTGAGAAGAGAAGAAAACGAAGATAACCAGAGAAGAATCTTGAGGAACACAAATATTAATATTTAAGGAATGGGCACAAAAAGAGGAGCCAGAGTAGAGATTATGTTGCAGGAAGGCAGGATGGTATAGACCAATTAGGAGGCAGAGGTGAGGTCATGGTGGCTCAGAATAAAGTGGGGGCAGTGGAGGTAAAAGAGAGATTTTAAAAGATTTAGTGGGCTTCCCTGGTGGCGCAGTGGTTGAGAGTCTGCCTGCCGATGCAGGGGACACGGGTTCGTGCCCCGGTTTGGGAAGATCCCATATGCCGCGGAGCAGCTGGGCCCGTGAGCCATGGCCGCTGAGCCTGCGCGTCCGGAACCTGTGTTCCACAACGGGAGAAGCCGCAACAGTGAGAGGCCCGCGAACCGCAAAAAAAAAAAAAAAAGATTTAGTGACGGATCATGTGAGGGATGGGAGAGAGGAAGTCAAGGATGACCTCTTTTTTTCTGACCTAAACGTCTGGGTGGTTGGAGGTGGGGTTTCCTGAGTTAGAGAGCTCTGGGAGAGAAGCAGTTTTGGAAAGGAAGATAAAGTCAGAACTGAGCATGTTGATTTAGATGTCTTTGAAGACATCCAAATAGATATTTCTTTCACTTGGTAGAAATTGATTGATTACCTACTGTAGATCAGGCACTATGCTTCACACTGGATGTTCACCAAGGAGATATTTGGGTCTGGAACTGTAGGTATAGCTTGAGGTCTTGGCTGCCAAAGTACATTTGAGAGTTGTCAGCATTCAGTTGGCGTTTGAAGCTATCAGAATATATGAGATCACATAGGGAGAGTGAGAAGAAGGCCTAGGATCCAACCCAGGAAACCCGCACATTGACCTGGAGAGAAGGAGATTGAGAAAGATTGACCACAGTGTTAGGAGAGTTAGGATACTATGATATCCAGACTCTCGGAGAAGTTTTGAGGAACACCATGTGGTCAACAGGGCCAAATAATGCCAAGGAGTCAAGCATAAAAAGGATTGAAAACTTTCCATTGGGTTTATCAGCAGGGAAGTCATTAGTTATCTTATGAGGATGAATTTCTAGAATTGGAAATGCTGGATCAAAAGATATGTTTGATAAATACTGCCAAATTGTTCTCCAAAAAAGTTTATACCAATTTATACTCCTTCCAACAGTATATGGGGGTGTGTGTGTTCTCATACTCTCACTGGTAGTGGGTATTATAAGTCTTAATCTTTGCCCCAAGGATAGGGGAAAATAATGCCTCATTATCTGAATACCCATTTCTTTGATAATTTGTGAGGCAGCATGTCTTTTTATGTGTTTATTGGTAATTTTTTTTTCTTCTTGAAATTACTCAGATTATTTACCATTTGTCCATTTTTACCGGGAGCATTTTAATTTTTTTAATTGATTTTTAAGAGCTCCTCATATTATTAGGGTTGGTGAGCTTCTGCAAAAGATATACATATCTTTAAAATTTTTTTATTGTTCTTTAAATTATTCTTACAGCTTAGGACAAAATTCTGAAGTCCCCTTTATACTGTCTACCTTTCTCAGTGTTGCCAAGTTTGTACCCTTTGTACCATGGAAGCTGGTGTAGATGTTTGCTCACTGAAGAGGAATTACTGTTCATTGGTGTCTTAAGAACACGTTACATTCAAGGATGTGGCCGTGGACTTCACCGAGGAGGAGTGGGGGCAGCTGGACCCCGCACAGACGGCCCTGTCCAAAGAGGTGATGCTGGAGATCTATGGCAACCTGGTCTTAGTGGGTGAGGACAACTGCTCTTTGGAGAATTTTTGTTCCCTTGGTTGTTTAAAGCTGTGAGCTCTTAAAGTGTTTAACTAGGTGAGGGCTTGAGATTCAAATATCAGAGTGTCCAAATCACTATTGAAGAAAGAAAAATGTTGCTACTAAGTAAAAACTTGAGTTCCCCCTCCGCCATTTATATATATATTTTTTTGAGGTGAAGTTCACATAAAATTTACCATTTGAAAGTGTACAATTCAGTGGCATTTAGTACATCACAATGTTGTGTAACTAACTCCTCTATCAAGTTCGAGAACATTTTCATCACCCTAAAAGAAAACCCCATACCCATTAAGCAGTCACTCCCCATGCCCCCCTCCCTGTAATTACTTATTTAATTAGAAAGGTATTAAAACAAAATATATTGCATATAAAGTAAAAAGTATCTTTCAGACTATTTTCTATTTATATTACATATAAGCAGACAGAAAATATATAAGCTCACAGATACATATTTGTTTTGTTTCTATTTGTGTATTTATCTGTTTATGTTATAAAAATTAGTTCTGTAACTTTCCTTTTAGTTAGTAACATATGTTAGATATCTTTACATGTCAAAATATTTAGACCTATCTCAGTCTTTTAACTGGGTATATCATATTCCATTGTATGATATATTGATATACTGAAATTAATTTTTTTTAATTTATTTATTTTTGGCTGAGTTGGGTCTTTGTTGCTGCATGCGGGCTTTCTGTAGTGAGCGGGGGCTACTCTTTGTTGCAGTGCACGGGCTTCTCATTGTGGTGGCTTCTCTTGTTGCGGAGCAGTCTCTAGGCACGTGGGCTTCAGTAGTTGTGGCATGCGGGCTCAGTATTTGTGGCTCACGGGCTCTAGAGCGCAGGCTCAGTAGTTGTGGCGCACAGGCTTAGTTGCTCCGCGGCATTTGGGATCTTCCCGGACAAGGGCTTGAACCTGTGTCCCCTGCCTTGGCAGGCGAATTCTTAACCACTACACCACCAGGGAAGTCCCTTGCATAGTAGTTTGACTGAGTAGAGACCTTTAGATTCAAAATCATTTTCCCTGAGAATGTTTGAGCCATTGTATCTTTGTTTTTAAGCCTCGGATACTGCTGATTCTGATCTGATTCATTCGTTTAGTAATTTTCTCTGTCTTATTTTATCTTATTTTTGTTTGTTTAACCAGTTTTTCTCGTCCCTCCCTTCTTTGGAATTTAGGAGTTTTACCAGGATGTGCCTAGCTAGGCAGTCCTCCCCGCCACCCCCCAACCCCGTAATTATATTTACCTATCATTGAGCCCATTCATCTCTGAAGCCTTCAGCTCATGGGGAGTTTTCCCTTGATATTTCATGAGATTTTGTTGAGGGAAAAAGAGGAAAAGCTTTAATTTATTCATTTCTACTTTTTATATTCCATGTCTTCCCTTTTCACGAGTTTTTATTTTGACAAATTTTGGACATCTTTGTCCCTCCTTTTTTTCCTTCCTTTTGTCCTTGTAGGGGAATCATTGGTTTAGGTTTAGCTTGCTTGCTGATAGTCTTTTTTCCCTCAAGACTCTGAAAATATTGTACTGTTGTCTTTGGTCAGTCTCAGTCTCTTTTCAAGGGAGTAACTTGTTTTGCTTTTTTAATGTTTTGTATGCTTATGTTTTCTTGATCCTTGAAATTCATAAATTTCATCCTGGTAGGTGTATATGTTGGTTTGTCTTTTTTTTTTAGCACTCCTAAGTGGTCCTGGGAAAATAGTTTCAATCTAAGGAATCAAGTTCTCTTTCAGACTAAGTACATTCTCATTATTTATTATTATTATTTCATATCCTTTCTTCTCTCCTTCTGAATCTCTTATACATGTAATATATAGGAGCTTCGAGATCATAATTCCATTTTTAAAATCCTTTCCTCTGAGTCCTAGTAGAACTCTTCAAGTTGATCTTTTTTCTTTTTAAAGAACTTGTATTTATTTATTTATTAAAATTTTATTTAGTTTTGTCTGCGTTGGATCTTCATTGCTGCGCACAGGCATTCTCTAGTTGTGGCGAGCAAGGGCTACTCTTTCTTGCGGTGTAGGCTTCTCATTGCAGTGGCTTCTCTTGTTGCAGAGCACGGACTCTAGATTCCCGGGCTTCAGTAGTTGCAGCACACGGGCTCAGTAGTTGCAGTGCACAGGCTCTGGGGCACGCAGGCTTCAGTAGTTGTGCAGTGTGGGCTCAGTAGTTGCAGGCTCTAGAGTGCAGGATCAGTAGTTGTGGTGTACCGGCTTAGTTGCTCTGCAGCATGTGGGATCTTCCCAGACCAGGGCTTGAACCCGTGTCCCCTGCATTGGCAGGTGGATTCTTAACCACTGCGCCACCAGGAAGTCCCATCTTCAAGTTGATCTTTTAATCCACTAACATAGTTTCTTACATTCTCCAGTCTGATATTCTATTGCTTATAACCTCCCTTGAGGTCTTTTAACTTGACGGTCATATTTTTTCATCATTGTAAACATTTTCTCATTCTTAAAGCATCCCCTTTCCCACACAGGAAAGAAACTTTATGACTGTGCCGAGTGTGGCAAGAGCTTCAGTCAGAGCACAGACCTTCACATCCACCAGAGAGTCCACACGAGAAAGAAACCTTTCGTGTGTGATACATGTGGCAAAGCCTTCAGTTATAACAGGAATCTTCACGTGCATCAGAGGGTCCACACAGGAGAGAAAGCTTTTAAGTGCGAGGAGTGTGGCAAGGGCTTCCATCAGAGCCCCAACCTTCGCATCCACTGGAGAGTCCACACTGGAGCAAAACCGTACAAATGTGGAGTGTTGTGAGAGCTTCAGACAGAACCTAGACTCCAAGAGCATCAGAGGGTCCACACAAGAGAAACCATTTTAATGTGAAACCCTTAAAGTACAAGCTTCCGTGCTCATCAGAAAGTCCACACAGGAGAGAAACCTGTAGGTGTGAGGAGTGTGGGAAGGATTTCGATCACAGTGAATCTTCACGTTCTCCAGAGAATGAAACTGCAGGTGTGATGGGTGTGTGATAAGGGTTTCTTCAGTTAGAGCTTAGATCTTCAAGTTTATCTAAGAATTAATACAGGAGAAAACCCATTTATATGTGCTAAATGTAGTAAGGGCTTTGGAAAGAGCACTAACCTTGAGTTCCATAAGTCCCCACAGGAGAGCAATTTTACAAATGTGCAAGTGTGGTAAAGGGTTTCTTAAGAACACAGAGCTTCTCTGCAGAGCGTCTACTCAGGGGAGAAACCATTGATTTCAGTGTCTGTGGTTGGGGCTTCCGTTACAGCACAAACCTTCATGCACATCAGAGTCCATGCGCGGTAGAGACCCTGTGTGCGTGAGAAGCGAGTCAGGCCTTCACATCCATTTGACTCCAGGTGGGAGAAAACCATGCAGGTGTAGGTATGTGCGTATCTCCCCCTTCCCCAGAGAGCCTGTTTCTACCACGATTCTGGCAGCTCCAAGAGAGGGCAGCTGCGTGTGCTTTGCTCGCCATTGTGTCCCCAGCTCCTGGCACAGTGCCTGGCAGGAGTAGCCACCTAGTAAATATTTGTTGAATGAGAATCCATGTGGGAGAGAACCCCTGTTTGTGTGATAGCGGGGTAAGGACTTCAAGGTCAACATGTTGAAGCCTTTTCAGAAAGTGTGTTCACAGTCAGATCATGGGTTTTGTCATGAGTTAATCCCTGCAGGAGAGAAATCCTGTGAACCTGATGATTATACTAATGGACTTAGAGATAAATGATCAAATTATTAAATCGGTGTAGTAAATTTAAAAATACATGTCTTCAGCATAAGAATCCACACCCCCAAAACTGTATCAGCTGTGAAAATACTTTAGTCAAAACTCATACATTAAAATGTGTATCTATTCGGGAAAAAAAATCCTGTGTATGCCCTAATGAAGTTATGTGTCAGGCTCTGGACTGACCACCTCCGCATAAGGGGGACTCCACCAGAATCTGGTAGCAGTAGCTCTTCTTTTGTTTTATATTTCATCTCAAAGAGGTTTATGTTAGACATAACCAATGAGTTATCCAGGGCCAAGGATTAACAAGGCCTTCCTTTTGGGAGAGATGCCCCTTACCTGGCAAAGTGCCCTTCTAGGCTGGAAGCCTCCTGGCCCTGATTGAGTGTCTCCCTGCCCATCATGTCATCAGGCTGCTGGGAGCTTTGCACCATGGATTGTAGAAATTCCCAGGTGAGGCATGTTCAGGGTAAGTGTCTATAGAAGAGATAGCTAAAAAAAGGGGGGCTGGGTCAGGGTTTACAGAGGGGAGTTAGAGGAGAGGAAAGCAAGTCTGAAACGGTAGGGAATAGTTAGAAGAAATAGGAAAAGAACAGTGCCTGGGAGGTAGTTGGGAGGGGTCATAGGGGTGGGAAGCCCCAAGGCTTCTCCTAAGTCTCCAGCAAGTGTCTCAACCTCCAGTACAGGGCTCTCCTTGGAGATCTGTGCTAACCAGAGTGTGGTCTGTAGTGGGTAGAGATGGACCCCAGTGGCATCAGGGCCAGTTGGGGCAAGAGGTGGAAGAGTTGCTGTGAGGGCGCTTGGAAGGCAACTCTATGCCCCATCATTTCCCCACGTGGCCCAAGTCAGGCGGGACCATTATCCCTCCAATAGAAGGAAGGATCATATATGCAGGCAATAGTAAGCTTGACCCCCTTCAGGAGGCATAAATTAACTAGAGAACAGCCTGGGGGTCTGGCAATGAAAAGGGAAGACCTGGACCAGTGGAGGTTATGAAAAGGTCAGTGACCCACTGTCATCTCTAAATCTGGGTAGGGAACAGAGAAAGTTGGTCAACATTTCCACTGAGTCCTTCACCTAAGAGCAATGTATTTTTCTGCATCCCCACTAAACAGCCATTTGGGGGTTAGAAAGGCTTTGGGGCTCTTTAGGAGGACAGCCAGTTGAGCTGTCCAGGGACCACTGGCCTAAGTTGGGAAAGGGGATGGTATCCCTGAGGACTGTGATGGCACCCAAATACCACTGAATGCAGGTTATATTAATAAAATTTTCACAACACTGAGGTTTTATATTAGTGTCTTTTCCTTCTTCCTCTTTCTTTTTCCTCTCTGTCTCTTCCCTTTTATTTTCTTTCTCTCTGTTTTTAGATTTAAAAAATATTTGAAGTACAAAATATTTCAGACATACAGAAAAGTTCAGAAAATGTAACAGCTATTTTCTCAACTGAGATTAAGTATGTTAAATTTTTTGCCGTAAGAGCTTCAGGTGTTTTTTTTTTTTTTTTTTTGGTATGGAAAAAAAAAGCAACAGATACAACTAAAGCCTCATGCTCTATTCTCTCAATTCTGCTCAGAGGTAACCATTATGCTTTAGTTACTATGTGTTGTTCCTCTGTATGTTTTTGGGTTTTTTATTACCCGTATGTCCATGGTATCTTAAATTTTTACATAGATAACATCATCTTGTATGTTACCTTTTTGCAATTTGCTTGATTCACCAAACATTACAGTTTTGATTTTTCTTTTTTTTTTGCGGTACACGGGCCTCTCATTGTCGTGGCCTCTGCCGTTGCGGAGCACAGGCTCCGGACACGCAGGCTCAGCAGCGGCCATGGCTCACGGGCCCAGCCGCTCTGCGGCATGTGGAATCCTCCCGGACTGGGGCACGAACCCCCGTCCCCTGCATCGGCAGGTGGACTCTCAACCACTGCGCCACCAGGGAAGCCCTGATATTTTTTTTATGCTAATGTTTTAGAACAAAGTCATGGATTTTAACTTCTATCGTGTTCTAAGCTATCAGACAGGTATTCTTTTCAATAGATTATTTGTATATCCCTGTGCCAGTAACACATTTTTGAGTAATATAGCTTTATAGTAACTGTCTTGGCTATTTAAAACCCTTTATTTTTTCATATAAATTGTAGGATCAGCTTGCTAAAATTTTTGAAAAAATCTGTTGGATTGGGATTTGGGGAGTTTTGTTTCATTTTCTCTCATTTTGTTCTTTCCATTGGATTATGTTTTCTTCTCCCTTTATTTACCTCTACAAGATTAGTATTTACATTTTATCTCCTTTTGTTTTATGTTAATTTACATAACTGTTAAATTAAGCCCCTCCTTAACAAGATAGAACAGAACACTAACTCTACTCCTCCTCTCATGTTACATGTTATTGTTGTATCAATACATGGTTTTAACTTCATCATGGTTTTTTTTTTTTTGGTTTTTTTTGCGGTACGCAGACCTCTCACTGTTGTGGCCTCTCCTGTTGCGGAGCACAGGCTCCGGACGCGCAGGCTCAGCGGCCATGGCTCGCGGGCCTGGCCGCTCTGCAGCATGTGGGATCTTCCCGGACCAGGGTACGAACCCGTGTCCCCTGCATTGGCAGGCGGACTCTCAACCACTGCACCACCAGGGAAGCCCTCATCACGTTTTTAACACACCGCAGATTTATCACAATTATTATATGTTGTAAATAGCCAACCCAAGTTTCAATTAACCGGAACATTTACCAGTTTCTTACCACTGGTTCTTGCATTTCCTCCTTCCTTCTGAGTTCCATTTCCTCAGCCTCCCAGAGCAGTTTCAGCTTGTATCGTGGTTAAAAGCACCAGCTCTGCAGTCAGCCTGCCTGGGTGTGATATCTGGCTCTGTAGATCTCTAGCTATGTGACCCTGGGCAGAGTACTTAATTTCTTTGTGCTTCAATTTCTCCATCTGTAAAAGAGAGATGATAGTATTATTTACTTCATGGGGTTGTTATTAGGATCAAATGAATTAATATTTGTAGAATGATTAAAATAGTGCCAGGCACATACTAAGTCTTGTAAAAGTATTTCTTTTGTAAATAAATGAATCCTTCAGTAGTTTTTCAGCAGGTATGTCTGAGAGTAGTAAATTCTTTATTTCTCCCTTACTTGTGAATTATAGCATAGCTGGATATAGAATTCTAAATTGGAATTTCATTTTTCTCAGTAATTCCTTAACCTCTAGTGCTGCTATTAAAAGTCTGTTATTAGTCTAATTATTGTTTCTTTTGAGACAGCCTGACTTTTCTCTCTGGTTAGTTTTAAAATTAGGATTTGCAAAATCCTGAAAAGCAGAAGCATGTTCTGCCATTTTACTAAATGTATATAGGAGTGGGTTTACTTGTATTTTCCCTAATCAAGACAGTAGCATGTAAAATAGCTTTTACATGCTATTTTCTCTTTTGCTAATTTTTCATTCTTTATTATATCCTTCTACTTCTATTGGGTGTATCTTTTTTTTTTTTCCTAGCGTCTTGAGTTACATGGTTAGAGTTTATTTTTAGCCTTTCTTGTTTTCTAATAAATGCATTTCAGTGCATTTATTAGAAATTAAATTTCCCTTGAATACTTTGGCAGCATCCCTTGCAGTATGCAATTCGGCAGTATGTATCAAAAGGCTTTAAAATGTTTATGCCAATTGACTGAGAAATTTTACATCTAAGAATCTATGTTAAGGGAATAATCAAATAAATTATGTGTAAAAAGTATACATTACCATGTGTTATTTCCACATTTTTTTTGTGTGTGTGTGTGGTACACGGGCCTCTCACTGTTGTGGCCTCTCCCATTGTGGAGCACAGGCTCCGGACGCGCAGGCTCAGCGGCCATGGCTCACGGGCCCAGCCGCTCCGCGGCATGTGGGATCTTCCCGGACCGGGGCACGAACCTGTGTCCCCTGCATTGGCAGGCGGACTCTCAACCACTGCGCCACTAGGGAAGCCCTACATTTTTTAAAAGAAGGAAAGGATTACTTCACAATCCAGAGGATGTCATACTGTATCATAGTATATCTCTATGATGCAGTATTCTCCAACAAAAAAAGTGATGTTTTTGAATCATTTTTAATGACTTAGGAAAATTTGCATAATATAGCAGATATAAAGACACATACATAGAGGAAAAAACTGGAAAGAAATATACTAATATATTAATAGTGTCAATGGATGATTTTTATTTTCTATTTTATGTTTTTCAGGATTTTGCAAGCAGTCTAATGCTTCCCAATCCCTGTTGACAACAACATTAACTCTTCTAATTACAAAATGATACATGCCTATTGTAAAATATGAAAACATTATGAAACAAAAGTAAGTGTAACTGGTTTAATCATGGAGTGTCAACTCAGTGGGATATATAAGATCATGAAATGGTTCTTTTTTCCCCCCAGGCTCTGCCTTCATCCATTCTGTTGAATCCCCATGAATGAATGAATGAATGAGTGAGTACTGAGTGGGAAAGAGACACTGAGGGAGGGCTTTAGGAAAGGAAGGCTTTTCCTCACCAGTTCCCTGAGGAAGAATACAAACTGTATAAAAGATTACAACTGGTGAAAATATTTCCAATCCATATCACAGACAAAGAGATTCATCTGCCTATTTATCAAGAGCTCTTAGAAATCAAGAAGAAAAAGCACAGGGACTTCCCTGGTGGTGCAGTGGTTAAGAATCCGCCTGCCAATGCAGGGGACACGGGTTTGAGCCCTGGTCCAGGAAGATCCCATATGCTGCGGAGCAACTAAGCCCATGCTCCACAACTACTGATCCTGCGCTCTAGAGCCTGCAGGCCACAACTACTGAAGCCCATGTACCTAGAGCCCGTGCTCCGCCACAAGAGAAGCCACCGCAATGAGAAGCCCGCGCACCGCAACGAAGAGTAGTCCCCACTCGCCACAACTAGAGAAAGCCCGCACGCAGCAACAAAGACCCAACGCAGCCAAAAATAAATTAATTAAGAAGAAAAAGCACACAAAAAAATGTGGAGAGACTGTTCAGACATAATACAAGTGACCCTTAAATGTATGGAAGGATCACAGACTTTTCTCATAATATGAGAAATGCATATCAAAACCATGCTGAGATACCATTTCTCACCTATGAGATTAGCAAAAAATTGAAAATTAAAAAAAAACAACTTGTTAATGAGGCATACAGAAGTAGGCATTTTCATACATTGCCGTGGGGCTTGCAAAATAGAACAACTCCTATGGAGAAGAATTTGACAGTATCTACCGACACTGTAGATACATTTGCCTTTTGATCCAGATATTCTATTTCTGAGACTCTATCCCACAGATACACTTGTACATGTGCTTTGCAAATATCTGGCATTGTTTCCAATAGTAAAAAATAGAAAACAACACAAATGTTCACCAACAGAGAACTGGTTTAATAAACTATATCCACACAGTGGAATGGTATGCAGCTGTAATAAAAAATAAGGAAAATTTCCTTGTGGAAATGGAAGTACCTCCAAGATGTATTATTAAATGAAAAATGCAAGGTGAAGAACAATGTGTGTATATAAATATATATTTTATAGAAATATATATATAATGAATTTTATGTAAGGAGGAGAAAGAATATATATCCATATTTGCTTATATTTGCATAATGTCACACTGGAAGGATAAACAAGGGACTAATAAAATAATTGGGGGGACAGGAGTGAGGGTGAGGATTTTCTGTACTTTTTTTCTTTTTGTATTCTTAATGTAGTTTTTTAAAATATTTATTTATTTATTTATTTATTTTGGCTGCATTGGGTCTTCGTTGCTGCATGTGGGCGTTCTCTAGTTGCAACGAGTGGAGGCTACTCTTCATTGCGGTGCGCGGGCTTCTTATTGTGGTGGCTTCTCTTGTTGCAGAGCCAGGCTCTAGGTGCGCAGGCTT